CCATCCTGTCTTGATGTTGTGCCGTACTAATCGATCCCCTAGTGTGTCTGGACGACACCCCCTCAAACTGGGTGTTCCGATTGGCCCGATTGATCCTGAATTTCCTTTTCCAAGCCTCGGTATCCCAGACCTGTTAAAAACATAGCACATGTATAAGGCGAAAGGCGGTACACATAGCAGTTCGAAAAGCTCACAATAGAGATGCATACCGTATCAATTATCTGCAGCCAAAACCTGTCTGGTATCCATACGGTATGGTGTAATCTAATCCGTGAGAAGTCCTCACCATCCCATTGTTGATCACCAGGATAGGCTTGTGCCACGGACCAATCACGTGCAGAGCTCATCCAGTCAGAGTACCTGTTGTGCATGACTTTGGTCCATAAATCATGCACCGTGTCATCCAGCTCATGTTCCCACTGGAACTTAGCCTACATACACAATGTTTGTATAAATGTAAAAACAATAACCTTGTATATATAATTATATTAAAATGGTACACAAACCCTAAAGCGCTGGAACATCAAGTCACGTGCTTCCACGGGTGCCGGCGGTGGTGGTCGGCGACGGGAAACGACGGTAGTCGTCGGAAATGGAGACGCGAAACAGTCGGGTTTGGAGAGGAAGCAGTCTCGACGAGAAACACACGGTGGTGCCCGAAAATGGAGCTGAGAAACAGATAGGAAACAGGTGGCGACGGCGACGACGCGGCGGGGTGGCGACGACGCAGCGGGGAGGCGACGACGCGGCAGGGTGGTGACGACGCGGCGGGGTGGCGACTACGACGAGCTCGATCTCTCTCTCTCGCACTATCTCGCACTCTCTCGCAATCTCTCTCTCAGTCTCTGTCGCGATTTTACACAAAAATACCAAGATAGATCTGAGAAATGGAGGCTTGACCTAGTTATATTGTATAAGACATCAAAAAGTTTTTTTTAATTTTTAAATATTTTAATTTTTTTTTAATTAATAACTATAAATTTAATTAATTATTAATTATCAAATTATGATACCGAATAAATCTCATTAAGGCTTTTGTAAACCGAATAAATCTCATTAAGTCCCAATAAAACCGAATAAAGTCCATTAAGGCCCAATAAGACCTAATAAAGTCCATTAAGACCCTATAAAACCGAATAAAGCCCAGTAGGCCCAATAAGACCGAATAAAGCCCATTAGGCCCAATAAAGCCTAATAAAACCGAATCGACGAGTATATATACATCGATCCAATCGTGGTTAGCAACCACCACACATCTATATATATCGTGTATACATGTGTATATATACATATAACAATTACAACATCGTGTAAACACATATATATATATATATATATATATATATATAACACAAGGCAACGGATATATATATTTATAACACATGCATATGTGTGCATATAATACACATCGCGATTAGCAACCACAACATACAAACAACACATATACATGCATACATACGACATCAACACATACAAATGAGAAAATAAGAAAAATAGAAAAATCCCTCGCTGATCCCTCGCAGATCAGCAAGGGATCTGCGAGGGAATGTGAATTTTGTCATTTCCCTCGCTGATCCCTCGCTGATCTGCGAGGGATCAGCGAGAGAATATGAATTTTGTCATTTCCCTCGCTGATCCCTCGTTGATCAGAGAGGGATCAGCGAGGGAATCTGATTTTTGGCCATTTCCCTCGCTGATCCCTCGATGACCTGTGAGGGATCAGCGAGGGAATTGTCCTATTTTCTTGATTTTCTTGAACTTTATGTGTTATATTTTTATATTTAGGTATCGTATGTATATATGCATGTGTTATAAGGATATATACTCGTTAGCCCATGTTATATACATATGTTTACACGACGTTGTATGTGTTATATGTATATATACCCGTCAGTCAATGTTATACACACATATATACACGATGTGTACTGGTTGCTAACCACGATTGGATAGATGAATATATGTTTAAACATATGTGTATATGTGAATGTATAGACAGTGTGTGTGTGTGTGTGTTAAATGCAGATTTATAAGGTTTTATTGGCCTTAACCCATTTGACTGGGCTTTGTTCGATTTTATTGGGCCTTAATCTATTTACCGGGCTTCATTGAG